TCAAATATCAGATATCCTGCATATCAGATATTTACATTACAATTCATAACAGTAGCAAAATTACAGTTATCAAATAGCAATGAAAATAATTCTATGGTTGGAGGTCACCACAACATGGGAAACTGTATTAAAGGGTCTCAGCATTAGGAAAATTGAGAACTACTGGGCCAGAGGTTTGAAGCCCTCCTTCATAGGTGCTTCTCTCCCCCAGCCCCACAAGCCTGAAGCCCAGCCAGTTCCACCCGTCATATCTATCTATGGGAGAACTTTACAAGTCTTTATACCCATCACCACCATTAGTTCCCTAATCCACAGCTACTTGATGTGGCAACAGAAAAAATTTGAACATTCAACAACGAAATTTAATTCAAAATCAAATGTGTAATCTATCTAATGTAATTCTGGCAGCTTTTGCCCCAGTTGCACCATGTGACATCACTGCAGCCTTGGTTCTGAACACACAATCTGCATTTTGCACATGCTGTTGATCCATGCTGTGCTACACCATCGGAAATACTTGAAACACCTCGGGTCAAACTCAACACGATCATAAGTCATCATGTTATGAATTGCAGCGTTTTACTGTACATACAGAGTTCTCTGCTCTTCTAGAAACACAATGAGAAACAAAGGCATTTCTTTCTTCTACCAACATTACTCAGCATTAACATACCAAATATCCTTGGATTGGATTGTGTTAAAATGTTTGATCTAAAAAAATGATTGAGTTGATGACTTGGGTTAAATTTTTTTAAACGGATGAATGAATTTTGTCTTGGGATTAAAACAGAATTTCCAACTGTTTATGAAATGATTCCAAGGATACTTCTGTTTCATCATTCTATACTACATATTTATGTGAAGCTGCATTCTCAGCATCGATTATAAGATCAAAATGTCAGTCAACACTGAGAAATGTTGAAAATGTTCTAAGTCCTGCAGATCAAGGTTTTAATTGTTTGTAAATATAAACAAGCACTTCCATCTCATTATTATGTGAATTTGCTTTCATCTCAAATAGATGATCAAAGTATCTGCATACTGTGACATCATGGGGCTGCCCATCTAAGATGGTCACTGTAAGCTGGTCAGATCTCACACCCTGAAGAAATCACTTCATGTCCTTCACCCCCCTACTCTCTGTCACCAAGAGTTAAGAACCCAGTTGTGCTGTGGTTTTATGTTGGGGGCACAGAGGTCCTTGTGGCTCACAAATAAGCACCAGGGAATCCAGGAAGGTTAAACACACAGTGTTGTCTCTTCAAAGAAAGAGATGTATAACCTGTTTTCCACCCAGAAGGCTGGGAATGGATGTGGTTAACAGCCTAGTAACCTTTGTGCTACATGGAGGTCCAAGCTACATCTGGCTCCCCCAGGGTCTTACAAACAGGACCAGAGTTGGTTAATTGCCCAGGTGACCTCTGTGCTGTCTGTGTGACCGAGACCACACCAGATCCTTCCACAGACCCTTAAGATAATACAAGCAGTCCATCTATAGATCCCATCTTTATGGAAGAAGTGACATGTACCTTGAAATGAGTTTCAATGTAATTATGCCTTACACTTTATTGTGCACACGGGATTGTGTTACACCAGGATACTTTCTTCCAAACTGCACTGTGCCTAAAATAAACTGCCCAGTGTCAGACTCTAGAAGGTTGAACCAACACTGGCTGAGTCATGGTGAACTGGACTTCCTTATTGCCTCACTCAGATTGACACTATACTGGCCGTGGTGTTTTCAGAGACCACACACACACACACACACACACACACACACACACACACACACACACAGTTTTAAAGCTCCTAAGTTATGCTCCTACTTGGTCCTACTATGCTCTGTGTCGAATGGGCTATGTTGAACTAAATCACGTGGTACAGAACATCCTGCCACTCTCTGAAAGGGTGTCAAAGTCAGATATTTTCTCTTGCTGAGGAGATTTCTCTGAAGCCACACCTCCACCCTGTTATCTATCCATGATGGCTCTTTCTCTTATCTTTACTTTAAGCTATCCCTTTTAATGGATCTTCTCTGCAGGTTTAGAAGGGAAGCCTCTCTTTCCCTTTAAGGCTCCATTCATTGTGGCTGTGATAAGATAACATCCCTTTTTAATGCTCTCCCACTAAGACGCACTCATGGTCTTATGGCCCTTTTTCCCAATAAGGATAATTTTGTGTCATCTTTCTGTAACCAACACATGAGCAGCCCTATTTCTAGCATATACCCAAAGGTTTTTTTATAATAAATTTCTTTATGATTTACTATCAGTAAATGTTGAACTTACATACCTTTATGCTCAGGGTCACATAAAACTTTCAGGCAAAAGGGGTCAGGAGTAGACAAAGGTTAAGAGTTCATGTCTCTATCCCCCTTGTCCACTCACCCTCATGTCTGTCCTTCACAACCACCACTGTTTTAACCAGTGTTTTATTGCTGTGAAGAGACACCATGAGGAGGGCAACTCTTCTAAAGGAAAGCATTTAATTGGGGCTGGCTTACAGTTTCAAAGGCTTAGTCCATTACATCATAGTGAGGAGTATGGTGGCATGTAAGCAGACATGGCCCTGGAGCTCAGAGCTTTACATACTGACCCACAGGCAGAGAGAAAGAAAGAGAGAGGAGGAGAGAGGGAGAGAGACTGGTCCTGGCATGGGCTTTAGAAATGTCAAAGCTCATCCCCTATTCCATACTTCCTCCAACAGGGTCACACTTCCTAACCCTTCTAATCCTGTTAATTAGTATCACTCCCTGGTGACTAAGCATTCAACTATATGAGTCTGTGTGAGCCGTTCTTATTCCAACCACCACAACCATCAATTCATAGCTGTTCCTCCTGCCAGCAGTCTTGGCACTTTGCCACTCATTCTCTAATCTAGTGACATGAGGGACCGCTCTACCTACTAATAAGGTCAAGTCACTCCTGCCAGATTCTGGAGGAGCTGCCTGCTACACTTTGAATAGTGCCCTGCCTCCTTGACAAGGCACATTGGGCCCTGCCTCACTCTCATCAGCATACCCCTCCTGTTGCTGCCCCCTAGTGCAAATTCTAACCAGTACACATGGTTGGCTGGGTGGTTCTAAGTCGTTTATGTGATCCATACTGGTCCTGTACTTCTCTCCCTGATTTCTACAGCCTCACAGGTCACATTCCCTTTGTTTGTCATGCACCTCTCCCCTTCTCCTGCCTGACTTCCAGTTAACCTCCCAGCTCTCCTTAGTTATTCTGAGTAAAGCAATTCCCATCTTATGTAGGAAGTGGCAGGATAAAAAGGCAAACTCAAAAGTTTTGATATTGTGACTGAGGGGCAGGTGATGGTGATTTGTTAAGATTCGCCAAATGGACTGACTAATTGGAGTAGAATCTGAGAGCAAGATTTTCTGCCTAATGCTTAAAGGAAGGTAGAATAATACACAGAGGTAACTGTGGAAGGTGAAAAGCTAACTTTCTTGAATGGAGCCATTATTGCACTCTCTATCGTTCAAAGCATCACATTATATATTTTATATTATAAAAATAAATATCAAAATAAATAATGGCACCTAAAGAGAATAAATGCATGGATTTAAAGGACCTTCAGAGAAGGAGTAGGATACAGACAGCATAGATCTCCCCTTAATTTTTACGGACCTGCTGTTGCATTTGAATTTGAAGTGAGGATTCAGCCCCTACTTTTGTTTACCATGGTGGTATCCAGGCTAAGGACATACCTCACCAGGAAGATGGAGCAGCAGGAATGTGGATAGACAGTGTCACTTCGTGGCATCCTTGAACAAGGACTAAATAGGAGTGGTCCTCATTGCTGACTGCATTTTGGTGAAATAGTTCTTCACTGTAAGATTAGTGACACTGACAAGTTGTACCGACTTGTAATCTTTTTGCACAGGAACTGGCCATTGTGGATCTTCAGGGACATCAATGTCAGCCATGTTCCCCATCAGGGAGCCTGGAAGGGACTCTGCAGTATTTTTAATGCCCTCAATGGGTGCAACAGACAGTGAGAGGGAACTCAGTCATTTCCTTCCATATCCTGAGGAAAGATCAAACCCAAAGCTGGGTCTACCTGCTTTCAAGTGAGCTGGTGACACCTCATATCATATTGTGCTGGCTATTTTATGTCAACTTCACCCAAGCTGTAGTCATTTGTAAGAGAGCGCCTCAATTGAAAAAAAAATTGCCTCCACCATATTGGCCTGTGAGAAAGCTTTGCTATGTTTTCTTCATTGATTGATGAGTGCTCAGCTCACTGTGGGCGGTACCAGCCCAAACCTGCTGGTCCTGGGTGGTGTAAGAAAGAAGGCTGAGCAAGCCAATAAGCAGCACTCCATGGCCTCTGCATCAGTTCCTGCCTCCAGGTTCCTGCCCTAACTTTCTTTCCTACCCGAATTGCTTTTGGTCATGGTGTTTTATCACAGCAATAGAAACTGTTAACTAAGGCAGAAATTGGCACCAGAAGCACTGTGTTGCTGTGACAGATCTGAACCACGCATTTTGGGGAACATTGAGGAAGGACTTTAGAACTTTGGTCTAGAGAAGCCATTGGGTACTTCGAGCTTAATGAGCTGTTGTGAGAATGTAGACTATAATGCTGAGAGCAGTGCAGATGATGGAGGGCTACCTTAAAACTTTTAGAGGGAAGTAAAAACTCTACCAGGGCCATCGACTGGATATTTTGAATTAAGAACCACTTGGGCTGGAGAGATGGCCATGTGGTTAAGAGGCTGGCTGTTCTTACAAAGGACCCAGGTTCAATTCCCAGCACCCACATGGCAGCGCACAACTGCCTGCAACTCCAGTTCCAGGGAATCTGAGATCCTAACACAGACATACATGCAGGCAAAACACCAACGCACATAAAAATAAATAAAAGACCCTTAAAAAAAAAAGAACCACTAAAGTAAAGCCTTTGCTTTGCTGGAACAATAAATGCTGGTCAGGTGGAGGTGAGAAATTAGCAGTGATTAAGAAGAGACCAGCACTGGCACTGGTGGTACTCACCTTTAATCTCAGCACCGGGAAGGCTGACACAGGTAGATTTCGTGAGTTCAAACCTTGAACTGGTCTACAGAGCGAGTTCCAGGACAGCCTGGGCTACACAGAAAAACCCTGTCTCAAAAAACAAAAAGAGTGTTTTTTGCCTGGCTGTGGTGGTACATGCCTTTAATCCCAGTACTCAGGAGGCAGAGGCAAGGGGATCTCTGTGAGTTCAAGGCCAGCATGGTCTACAAAGTGAGTTCTAGGGATGGCCAGGACTGTTACACAGAGAAACCCTGTCTCGACGGAGGGGATGGGGGAAGACCAGCATCGTGGATGAAATCTTCTGTATTTTATTAGGGTCAGCACAAAAAAAAGCTGTGTTCCAGAAGTGGCCAAGGTTGTATGGACCTCATGCTGGCAACCAAATCTGGTAGTGTAAGGGTCACCCAGTTGGTACTGGTTTTGAAGGCATGAAGGGGTCATGGAGAGTAGCTGAGGCTTGGAACTGTGTGGCAGGGCTGGAATCCCTGAAGAGAGGCCAGGAAAGGCAATTGGTGAAGGTGTAGCCTCAGTTGCAATAGAATGACGGGGATGGAAGGGACTGTGCAGAGAAACTGACACCATGTGCTGTGTTAGAGACCCTGAAGACAGCCCAGAAGCTACTGGTGAAAGTGTAAGGCATTTGCAACATTTTGGAGACATCAATACCATGGAACAACTGTCAAGGACAGCAGCAGCCATAGGGTGGGGCTGGCCGGAACATAAGAGACAACTTGTGTGTGCTGCAGACTGTAGGCCCAAGAAGTGGAGCTAGCAGTCGCCCAGCCCAGATGATTGTGAGTGGCACCCAGACATCAAGCACTGAGCTTTTTATGTTGTTGAACTTCAGTTTTGCTAAGATTTTATTTTAACTATGCCCTGGTTCTTCTCTCTTGGAATAAGAAGGTATTTAGCTTGTTTTTGGTTTGTACAGGAGCCCACAGTTGTGAGACCATGGATACTTTAAAGAAACCTTGCAATTTTAGAGATACTTTGGATATTTTAATGAAGCCGAGGTTTTGAATGTTTAAATTTTTTTAAAGATTTATTTATTTATTGTGTATACAGCATATGTGACTGCAAGCCAGAAGAGGACACCAGATCTCATTACAGGTGGTTGTGAGCCACCATGTGGTTGCTGGGAATTGAACTCAGGACCTCTGGAAGAGCATTTGGTGCTCTTAACCTCTGAGCCATCTCTCCAGCCCGAATGTTTAAATTTTTAAGAACCATGGACTTTTAAATTACATTTGATTTCTAAGACAGCCATGACTACATAATAGAGAGACCCTGTCTCAAAAAATAATTTGTTTTATACTATAATAGTAACATGACATCTTGTGGATAACAAGAAAGGAAAGGTCATGGTTTAATAGTGATGTGTTTGTGTGTCAATTTTACAAGGGGTCGATTGTACTAGCTACTTTTACATCAACTCAACACAAACTGGAGTCATTTGGAAAAAGGACACCTCAGTTGAGAAAATTTCTCTACCTGCTTGTCTGTGAGAAAGCCTGTGGTGTGTTTTGTTCATTGATGGTTGATGTAGGAGTGCCACACTCACTGTGGGTTGTGCCACCCCTGGGCTGGTCACTTTGGATGGTATAAGAAAGACTGGGAAAGCCATGCAAGCCAGTAAGCAGCACTCCTCCATGGCCCCTGCATTAGTTCCTGCCTCCAGTTTCCTGCTTTGAGTTCCTGTTCTGACTTACTGGATGATGGACTACAAGTTGTGACATTAAATAAACCCTTTCCTCCCCCAAGTTGCTTTTGGTCATGGTGTTTCATCACAGCCATAGAAAACATTGAGGCACTTGTGAAGTTTAGCTCCATGTACTAACTAGCCCAATCTAACTCCTCTTACTTAGCACGGCATGCCTAAATATGAGATGTAGTCTGTGCCCTGGCAACTGGAGAGTGGGCTTAGTCACTAAATTGCTTGTCATACAAGCATGAGGACATGGCTTTAATCCCCAGCACCAATATACAAAAATCTTGTCACAGGAGCACATATCTGCAATCCCAAAGTTGGAGAGGCAGGCAGATTCCTGGAGCTCAGTGGCCAGGCAGCCTCACCTAGCCAAATTAGGTTTCCAGAGAGATCCTATCTCAAAAAGTAAGATGGAGAGTGACTCAGAAAGAAACCTGACATTGGCCTCTTATCCCCACACACATGCACATACATGCCCATGTCCACACATGTCCATATGCACCCCTAAAGGCATATGCATATGCAAGCATGCATGTGTAGCATGAATCTTAGAGAGTCTTATTAATAAAATCAAACCCGAGGCCAGTTATTGGGGTCAATGCTGGTAGATCAGAGAGACAGAACAAGCCACAGCTATCTCACCTGACCAACTTCTTGGCTGGTCTTGTTTCCTCAGACTGGAAGCTTCTGTGTCCTCATCCCAATGGCTCTCAGCTGAACTGCTTCTCAAATCCTGAACGCTTAACCAGCCAAATGCTTCTAGTTTCTGGTCCTCACGCCTTATAAACCTTTCTGCTTTCTACCACCACTCCCTGGGATTAAAGGTTGCTTTCTGGGATTAAAGGCGTGAGTCACCATGCCTGGCTGTTTCCAATGTGGCCTTGAACTCACAGAGATTCAGAGGGATTTCTACCTCTGGAATGCTAGGATTAAAGGCGTGTGCTAACATTTTCTAGCCTAAGTATCTTGTGGCTTTTCTGTTCTCTGACCCCAGATAAGTTTATTAAGGTACACAATATTTTGGGGAACACAATACCACCACATGCATGCTTCTCTATAAAATTTAACCCTGTTTTTACAAAATGTCAGAATGTGTTCTGTATATATTTTTCTGGCCCTCCAAGAAGAATATACTGTCCACCAACTACTAGACATCACTGAGAAAGAAATGAGGTTAAAAACAAAGAAACAAAATGCCAGAGGATTTTGAACAGGTGAACAACAAAAAGAAAAAATGGGAGTGTCACTAGTCCCACCACTGCCGCTCCAAACTCAAACATGGCTTGAGGTTTGGCTAGCTTCCCAGGGGCGCCAGCATCATGCTCTCCATATTAACATGTTACTTTTAAGTAGCCCTATGGGAGAAGCACATTAGATACATCAGGATGACTCTTCCTGGAGCATAGCTATTATTCATACGTATAGTTTTTAATGTGCAAAGGTCCAGAGAGACTAGGAGCATAGGTCACTTACTTAGCAGATGTGAGACCTTGAGATCAATGCCCACCGGTGCAAGAATAAGCAAACAAACAAACAAACAAAACCCTCAAAGTCCCAAAGAAATAAGTATTCAAACCCCAAGAAAACAATACATGAAAGCAGCCTGGCTAGGTGGAAGATACCTGTAAAGGTAACACTTGGGAGATAAGTACAAAGATCATTAACGTTTGGGGCCAGTTACAAAGAGAAGAAACAAAGTGGGAGTTGTTTGGTATCTCATGCAGAAAATGGTAAATTGAGAAGTCACATCCAAGGTCTGGCTGATTCCAACTAAAGAGGACCGCCAAGGAGAGCACCTTACCCTCCTCATTTACAGGGAGTATATGAGAGTTTGCTCAGGAAAGACATGGTAGGCTGTTTTTACAGTCATGCTGACACCCTTTGCTTACATTCCACTTGGTAAGATGGTAACACTGTATACCAGTGGAATATTCTTTGTTGCAACACCATGTCCACAGGTGAAAGGCAGGTGTCCAACCCGGCAAAGCCACTCTGAAAGGTTCTAGGACAGTACTATGTCGGCCTTCCCCAGTGTTGCCCTTACCCAACAGCCCTGGAGCCCATTAGTGATAATGCTGGCCTCAGAGATAACTGCTGAGAAAGACTATCTTCTAGTTTTCCTTGGGGAGACAATGTCATTCAGAGGCACTTAAATAACCCACTTTTCAATTTCAAGCTCTACCTGAAAGAATATGGGAACCAACAGAACTGCAAGAGGCCTTTCTATTGACAACAGCACATCTGTAGAGCTGTGCAGACCCCAGAGGTGGTATGGGGCCCACCAGGCCAAAGATGGAGACCTAGCAATGCCTATGTAGATCACTATCTTCACCCGCCTTGACTCTGTGACATGTGCAATGTAGCTACCTACTTCATCAACCTACCATCCCATGTGTCTGTCCTGTGCAAACCCTCCCACACTCCCCTCAGGTGAGGAGGGTCAGGAGCCATCTTCTATTTACAGAGTACCGCGACTTAAACTCTAGTATCATTCTCCTCACACACACACTGGAGTGGGAGCATCTTCCTGCAAGGACGTAGTCTAAATCACCCCAAATTCCCCACCGGGTCCTGTACCTAAAGATGAGCGACTCACCTGGAGCTTCAAACATGCTTGCTTATTCAGTGCTTGAAAGATTGTGATTGGAGGTACTTGGCCAATGGGAACAGCAGGTAGTTGTCAATTGTTGCCATTATTTGTGCAGTAGAAATGATTCAGGAAGGTGGAACAGACGATCAGATTCTTTCAGTTGTACTGAGAGGAGAATTACATCTTTCATCCCATCCCTAATCCTGGAGCTCCTACTGCAAAGAAGATATAGGGGCTGGAGAGATGGCTCAGAGGTTAAGAGCACTTGGTGCTCTTGCAGAGGACCTGAGTTCAGTTCCAAGCACCCACATTGGTGACTCACATCCATCTGTGTCTCCAGTTCTAGAGGATCTGATGTCCTCTTGTGGCCTCTGTGGGCACTACATACATGTGATGCACATACATATACTAGACATACAAACAAGCAAAACAGTCATACACATAAAGATAAAAATAATTTTTAAAGAGGATACAAATTTCTGTAGTACAAGTCAGCTAATCTCTTATAGTCTGTCCAGCTCAGATCTGGCCTCACAGAGGAATTGCACCTATTGGTCACCAAATTGTCCATGTGCCCAGGGGCCAGTGCACATAGCCCCTCAAGCATGGGTTCAATTAGAAGGCTAGTGAACAAATTCAGGCTGACAATTGAGCACTAATTGAGTCTGTGGATACAATGCAGATGGCTCCTGGGACAAGGGCAGGAAGACAGATCCTCACCTGATTGAAGTACTAGCTCATTGCCCAAGCCTCCCAATTTGCTGACTACTCTTTCCATGTGTCCCTCTTTTGCCTGGCCCTTGTAGCCCTGCACAGACTTGCTGGCAGCATCTGTGACCCTCAGTTGTCCTTTTCTGTCAGGCTGACCAAGCAGAAGCATCTCTACCAGACAGCACCCTGGGCACCTCCCACCTTCCCTTCAGCTCTCTTCTCTACTGACTGCTGTGGTGTCCTCCATGTGCCTGGTGGGCTCTTCTTCACCTTCTCCTCCCCAGATGTTCTCTTTGTCTGGAAAGCCCCATCTCCAGATATCTGCTTGGCTGACACCTCCCTCACATTGATATCAGAAAATAATTTCCTCCATGCTGCTTATTCTGGTTACTCCGCTACAGATTCCAACCGGCAGCTCACTTACTTCCTGGCCCAAGCTTTCCATCCTGTTACCACAATTGGTACAGCTTTTTCTTTTTCCTTCTTTCTCTTTAAATTACATTTTTTAAATTTATTTTGAGTGTGTGACTGAACACAGGTAGGTGCTCACACACATGCCACACAATGTGCATGGAGCTCAGAAGACAACTTTCTATAATCGGTTCTCTTCTTCCACCATTTGGGTCCTGGACATCGAATTTAGGTCATCAGACTTGGTTAAGGCATCTTGCTGGCCCCTTTTCTGTGTTCAGTTCCAGCATCCCTCACTGTCAACTGTACTCACTGTGCAGCTTGCCAGACTATCGCTGAGAATTTGTCACCTGCCACCTTCCACTTCCTGTTTGGGGACTGAATGCTTAGGAATTTCTTTCTTTTCTTCTAGTTTTTTTTTATTAACATTTGAATTAGCCTGTTGAAAAATTCACATATTTTAAAGCATGAGCTTGTTTTCTTTCACAAGCACACTGATTTGTTTAAAGCTCTCAGATTGCTTCTGTATAGCAACAAGCAGATATTTCTAACAAGTAACAATACTTTAACAAAAAGCCATACGCATATCTCTCTTTCTGTAGGCCCAGTGGAAGCTTTCCTGAAATATTTTCGTTTTTGTTTGTTATAAGGATAATTTTTACTTTATTTTTAACTGAAAATAATGTTTGTACAATATGTTCTGATCATGGTTTCCCCTTCCCCAATTCCTCCCAGCTCCTCCCTATCCACAAAACTCCATACCTTCTTTCTCTCTCTCTCTTTAGAAAACAATCAGAAAAACAACAAAAGCAAACAAAACAAAATTCTTTTAAAGTAACAGAGAAAGCACAAGAAACACACACACACACACACACACACGAACCCATAAAAACACATAATATACAAGCAAAAGATCAGTAAGACAAAAAAACTCCCAATAAAGGGATATGAAATAAAAAGTCTACAAAAATGCCCTTGAGTTCATTTTGTGTTGCCATCTACTGCTGGGCAGGGGGCCTGCCCTGTGTGGCTAATGTCCCCAGTGAGACTCCATTGGAGAGAACTGATTTTTCCTTTGCAAGTGGGTGTCAATTGGTGATAGCTTCTCAGTTAGTAATGGAGTCTGTGTCCACTTCCCCTCCCTGCACTGGGACCCTGGCTGGCTTGAACCGGTGCAGGTCCCAACCTGGGGATTTCTGTCTGCTTGCTGATGTGTCCCAACAACTAGAGCGGTGCCTTTCTCAGAGAAGACATGGGATAAGCGTATGGGACTCAAGGGGATGTGCCTGTCAGCATCCCCACTAGACTAAGACTCTAGGGGCACTCTTTTTCCCCTATGTGGTGCTGCCTCAGTCTGTCTGTCCACTGCTGCCTCACCCTCTGGCAATGACAGCTTCTGGGAACCTATTGAGGCCACCTGCCTTTGTTTCCAACCACAGACACTTACTTTCAAGAAATAGGAATTTATTTGGTATTTTGGCCTTGTTCTGGGCCCTCAAGTTATTTCTTGATGTGTTAAATTGTGAACATATTGTGGTGGTTTATGAAACCCTTAGGAGAATGATATGATGCTCATAGTTGGGCCAATGTGGGAGACTTTTCTGTTTCTGGACAGTTGTCAGACCAGAACATCTGGAGAGAGTCATAGACCCCTCATATCTGGTGTTGATGATGTGAACAGCAAACAGCTCAGGCCTTTCAAGACATTAGATACAGAACAAAGACAGACCAGACTTCATTCTGGGATGTTGATCTCCCATCAGCTCAGAAAAGTCATATTATAAACAGAGGCTCTTAAATATACTCCCACTGTTGGTCACACACACACCCCAAATATCCCAATGGCATATAGCAACCAAATACCAACACAAGAAAGTATAACTCAGATGCCTCCAAACTTTGAATTAAATAACATTATATACTATTATAGTGTGTGTGTGTGTGTGTGTGTGTGTGTGTGTGTGTGTGTGTGTGTGTGTGTGTTGTACATTGGTACGTACATACGTGTAACAGAGTGCATAAAGAAGTTACTTTGTAGAGTCAGTTCTCTTTTTTCCACCTTTGTGTGGGTTCTGGGGACTGAATCCAGCTCATAAGATTGATGCAGTCAGTACTTTTACCAGTTGAGCTATCTCTGCAGCATGACCTCCAAACTTTAGACATGCAATACGGAATGGCTCACAGAACAAAAACAAACAAAACAAAACAAAAATCTAGAGACATCAAATTCCAGCCCACATGTATTTTTGCCCACATGTATTTTTGAAAATTCCTAACTTGTGGTTCAGGTACTCACATAGTTAAAAGATCTCATACCCTTGTCTCAGAAGCCCATAAAATCATAGTCCACACATTGGGAGATAGACACATGAAATAACCCAAAGGACAGATCCCAGGGACAAGGATTACTCCTGCGGCAAATATCTCAAAGACCTCAGGGTATGGTGGACAAATTCCTTTGAAGCCCAAAGTTTTTATGGTTTTTGCTAGTTTGTTTATTTGTTTTGGGGGTGGGGTGGGGGACATTAGAGACAGGGTTTCTCTGTGTAACCCTGGCTATCATGAAATTCCTTCAGTAAGCCAAGCTGGCCTTAAAGCTACAGATGTTCACCTGCCTCTGTCTCTTGGGTGCTGGCATTAAAGGCATGCACCACTACTGTCTGGCTAAGTCCAAAGTTTTTAATGCAAGATATAATGGAACCCTCTGCCTCACACTATAACCAGGTCATGGAGGTCACATGTAGGATACAGAATCCCCAAGTCATCAAATGCCTGTGATCTCGTGGGCTTAATGGTATTGTATCCCTCACAAAACTCCTCAAGGTTGCTTGAATGCTAATGCTTGAAATGCACAATCACAAAAGTGTGATAATGTGTGCACTTCTAGACAAAGTCCATAATACAGATCATATGTTTTCTCTATTAAAATAGAAACTCTTAAACACCCCAGAAATCTCTCACTCTGAGCACAAGTCCTCTATTCCTCAAAAACCTCACAGCTGAGTCCCAGGAACCCAGACACCTCAAGCCTCTAACAATCTGTGGCAAGGACCTCCAAATGTGTCCAAGATGTCTATACACAGAACATGAAAGAAGTCAGACTTGATTTCCTAGAGACACACACAGTGAGATATCTGCCAGATAGAGAGCCAGTGAGGTACTACCAGTCTCCTGAATAGGACATAGAGCAAGACTAAGTGATGCAGAGGCAGAGGAAGGGACAAATGAGAATTAGGGAGAACATCCAGGAAACCTGCTATTTCCACTGAGTTAGGCTCAACCTCAGTCACTTGGATAATTTCCTGTTCTCTCCAAAGTTGTCTTGAGACATCCACATGTGCATATCTACATATCCACAAAATATACACACAATAAGTAAGTGTCTTATAAAAAGAAAGCACTTAATTGGGGGCTTGCTTACAATTTCAGAGGGTTAGTCCATGATCATCATGGTGGCAAGCAGACAGATATGTATGGTACTGGAGCAATAACTGAGAGTTTACATCTTATCCACAGGCACAAGGCAGAGAGAGAGCTAACTGGAATGACATGGGCTTTCGAAATCTCAAAGCCCACCCCCAGGGACACACATCCTCCAACAAAGCCACACTGCCCAATCCTTCCCAAACAGTTCCACCAAATGGGGAGCCAAGCATTCAAACACATGAGCCTATGGAGGGCATTCTCATTCAAACCACCATAGAGGGCTAAATTACTACCAAAATAGACTTCAGAATGATAATTAATATAAGTGGTAATGATGATCCATTCATCAAAAACAAAGTTATGAGCTGGTGGCACACACCTTTAATCCTAGCACTTGGAAGGCAGAGGCAGAAGGATCTCTGAGTTCAAAGCCATCCTGGTCTATGGAGCAAGTTCCAGGATAGTCAGGGCTGCACAAAGAAACCCTGTCTAAAAAAAAAAAGCTTATATTATTTATAGAAAAATGAATCCAACTGGACATAGTTGTATTAAGTGAATTAAGCAAGTCTCAGATAAACATTGTGTTCTTTCTCTCATTTGTGGATTAAAGATTTTATATAGACATGTAAAATCATGTATACATCTGTGACATAGAAGTAAAACTGTC